AATTCGCTTGTCGTGTTTTACCGCCCTTCCTTGGAACGGCAGTTGAGCTTGCTGGGGCATACAACATGGAAACGCAAATAAACAACCAGAGCGCTCTGGCGAGCATCCTGAAAGCCGCCAAATATTGGCTAACGCAAGAAGCAAAGTGAGTTGTTGAGAGCGCGGACACTTTTGCGAGAGAGCAGCATCAAGTTCTGGGGGATTTGAGACGAGTACAAGACGAGCCTCCAAAAATGGCACAACGAAAACAATTGTGAGCTGATCCTACATTGACAGTATAAACGTTGCACACGCTGCTCATCAGCTTGTTCTTTAACTTGTTCTTTATCGTGCATATGTAGCTAAGCGTGATATGCTTACACTGGTGATCAAGCCTGTGTAGTACTCGACGCGTAAGGACTGAGTCGCAGCGAAACGGCTGACTGGTACAGGCTCAAGAAGCACGCAAAGTGCTAAACATAGTATGTAATCTCGTGGATTGAATACTAATACAGGGCAGTTTATAATAACACAAGCTCGGTGTGGGAATGAGAAAGCACCGCATTAATGTGTCAGATTTTTGGGCGTTCACTCATCTTGTTTATTCTACACGGCATATATGGCAAGCGGCTTCGCGATTAGAATCTCTGCAATATGCTCGTAACTGGATAGTCAAACCAGACCTATTCACCTAGTTTGTTGATGCGGCGTTAACTGGCTGCGGGTTAGCTGTACACCACGCTAGTCGTGACCTCAACACCGCCATGTTGCGACACTTTGCTGACGACCCAGACCACATTGGCCAAACACAACGTTGCACCTTCCTATTCAAGTTTCGGTGTGGCTTCAGCCATAAACTGAGTTGTAAAATTAGCAAGAGAATATCGCCTCTAGAATTGTGTATATGAAAACTCTCAAGCTGATAGTAAGCCATGGATATGCAAAGAGACGCCGTCGACTCCAAGTCATACAAAACGTAATAGTACAGCCACTAGAAAAGTACTCAACACACCAGGACACCGGCTAGTCCAGCTTCAAATCCATATTCGCGTACGCATACTATGCGTGGTCACCCTCACCAGTCTCGTCGTGATGCATTTCAGTCCCGTGAAAAGCATCGCCGAACGCCGAATCATCGACAAGGTCCAAGCCCAGGTTGTCATCGTGTCCATAGTCGGCCAGAGCGTCTCCAGCACTATCAATGTTGTCGAAACTTCCAAAGTCGGCGGTGTCGAACATGCTGCCTGCATCAGCGTCGATGTTGGATTGAGGCATCCCGCCGACATTGTTCGGGCGCTGGTTGTTGCTCATGTTTGGCTGCTGGACACCGCCGGCTGGCTGTTGGGCATTGCCTGACTGGTCGTTCATCGTCCAGTCATCAGTCTTGTCTCCTGCACCCGCCATGCCGGACATTTCTACATCCAGATCCAAAAGATCGGCTCCTACATCAAGGCTTGTATCCTGTTGATCGAATGCCGACGACTGGTTCATGTTGCCGTGTGGTACATTGGGTGTACCGGTGGCGGACTGCGATTGACTCGGTGGTTGCGATAGTCTAGGCAAGGACATGTTGCCGATAGGTGTGCCAGAAAGTGATCCCGACCCATATTGATCCAAGAGGTTCGCGGCAGAGTTGTCTTCCATTGAGCCCTGGTTGTTCATGCCATTCGATGTGCCGTTCGCTTGCTGTTGGGCTCCGTTGCCGTTCATCTGCGCTTTTGGAGGTGAGGGTTGTTGTACTTCAATAAAACCACCCTTGTCTACACAGACAACCGCCTTCTTCTCATCAAACTTGACACCCAGCGACTTCTCCAAATCTTGTACAACTCCTTCGACCGGGTTTGCGTCATCACCGTCGTCCTCGGTGGAGCGAGATAGATCTCGTAGTCGGCGTTCGGCTTTGATGTAGGTCCTGGTGCGCTTCAACTGTGCCACCTTCTTCGCGTGCTCGGCCTTCATCTTGTCAATTTCAGCCTGCTCATTCTTCGTGTACTCTGCTACGCGCTTCTCGAAGTCCTTGAGTTGGTCTGCGTCCAGCTTGTAGTAGTTCTTGATCTGGTAGTTGTCCTTTCCTGGCTCCACGTTCTCAGCTCCCGGGACGTCCAAGATGCCAGCAGTAAGAGGAGCAAGCTCTCCCATGAGGCCTAGGCCTAGATCAATCGGCGCGATCTTTCCAACAGCGTACGGCGATGAGAAGATCTCCTCCATCCACTCGTGATGCTGCTTGTAGCGCGACAAGCTGATCTCGCGCGGGGTGAGGAAATCGAAAGCATCTTGTGTCGCGTTCTCCTCCTCTTCGAGCGTGTTGTCCGGCGCAAGCGCGCCTGCAGCGGGTTGACGGGGTTGAGGTTGTGTCGGCAAGCGCTGGCGTTTGGCTGGCGGAGGTTGTGCAGGATATTGCCTGCCTGGGTACATGGGGTTGTAGCCCTGTGGCTGAGGGCCTCTCATCGCCTGGTGTCCAAACTCGACTTTTGGCCAATTCGCCTGGTCGACTAGCATGAATTCCTTGCGCATCAACGGTCCGGCTTGCTGGAGTTGAGCGCGCATCTGGAACTGAGCCTGGACCTCTCGTGGGACGGGTATTTGGGCGGCGGGCATTCTGCTTTGTGGATCTGCGGGCTTGTAGTGTACAAGCCAGAGATTGGGATCGATGTTTCCAGGACCTGCGGCGATTCGATAGCGATGGCGCGCGTGTACGGCATATGGTTCGCCGGGGTAGTGGTAGCCACTGTTGTGGACAAGGACTTGGAGAGTCTATAGGGTGTTAGGCATTGCGCGCAAATGACGCCTTGGTATACATACGTATCCGCGCACGTTCATATCGTATGCGGTCTCAGCATCAGCCCAAACCATGCCGTCCGAGGCGAACATGGTGCCCATGCGCGGGGGCTGCCATGTGAGGATGACAGTGCCATCTTGGGGAGGGGCGGCAAGGTAGGTCCACGCGACGGGGGACGTGTCGCGCACGATCTGCGGGCCTTTGATGAGGTACTCGAGGGCTTGCGGAGCTTGGAGGCCCGGCAGAGTAGGGAAGCGGTACGAGGATATCAGGTGCACATGGGGAAGGAGGTGGTTCGGCACCTGCGCACTCGGGTCGGGGGCATGGTAGGCTTGGTTCATGCCGTACATGATGGCGGAGATGATGCGACGGGATTGCCGCGTCGGTCGGGTCGGTTTGGGTGGTGATGCAGCGGGCGCGAAAGCTGGGGTTGGTTGATGTCTGGAATCTTTGGCGCGTTGGGACCGCGCGACTGCCAAGATGTCGTCGTAAGCGGTTAGCGCGGTACTCGGCTCCTACGAACACATGTTCGACTGCACGACCACGGTGTACACAAAGGTGCTATTTTTCTGTATGTTAGTGAAAGATTTATGGCGCATAGTTTCAGAGGGGACTTGCTTCGTACGCATTAATCAGCATCGTCGAGGATGTTCCCCTTTGCAGCCGGTCGCGAGCACCTGAAAGATCCTATCTCGACCTTCCTGTATCATCGGAGCGCTGAAGTCAGCTTCGAGCACTATGTCTACTGCCTTCTATTGGAAGTATTTTTGCGTAATGCTCTGGTTTTGACCTTTACCTGGGTACTCATTCTGCACAGTTGTGGAAGGGTGATTTCGAAGGTTCAATACCAACACTAAAATCAACCAACTATCGGGCATTGATGATACGTCACTATGAATTACGCAGTGCCATGGTGTAGTCATATACAGCAAAACTGGATGCAAGGAGGGTAGGGAGGCCTTCTCTTGCGAAGCTATTCATGTTTCCTCTTCAACCTACCAATATATGGAAGTTGAGCCTTTGCAATGAGCCTACCCGCAACCTGCCTAGGTAATGTGACGTATCTTAGGATCACTCGGAGCTTCTCTTGTATGCGAGTAATTGTACACGTTCTTAGCAAAGCCATAAGCAGCTGCCCCATTAGTGATGAAAAGAACGAGTGAAATATTCGCGTGAATTATGTATCCCAATGAAAGATGCAGCTTTGACTGGCGGCATAATTTGCGAGTCAGCCCCACAAACTTGCATGGTGTTTTCGGCGTGAACGGCTAAGTCGATTGAGTGGGGGTAAAATGTCACCAGCCCACAACACGAATTTTGATCAGGCCTCGCTCACTCAGGGCGTCGAGCCATGGAATAACGCTATAAACGTTACAATTTGACGACTTTTCATCAATCACCGATCACCGATCACCGCTCATCGCCCGTTTGGGCGACGGTGAATTCTGCGATTCTCTTGGCAAAAGAGCAAAACCGGGCTTGTGGTTTAGTGGTATAATACTCCCTTAGCATGGGAGTGGTCCAGGGTTCGATTCCCTGCAAGTCCATCTTTTTGCGCTGCTGTACCGTTCCCTAGATGGGGGAGAGTGTGGAGGTGTGGTGAAGGTTTGGGATTTTTTGCGTTTTTTTGGTAAGAGGGGCAGCACGACTCGTCATTCCACGCAGATGATGCAGCTTCTTTGCCCATAAATTCGCCTCTGTGCTCATGTCTGCTGCCATAGTTTGACCATGTTCTTCTTTGGTAATTATTTTAGGGATTTTGGGCGTGTGGTGGTCGCAGGCAGCATTGGAGATTCCTCATCTCGACCAGCCCTTCCATGGCTTGGTAAAAGCACTGCGACAACAGCTGCGTCTTAACAGCGTGACAGATCAGTGTAGTGCATCAGTTTTGAGCACATGCAACAAGAGTGTGTAGACTTCAACATAATTACGACACTCCTACTTAGCAAACAACCCCATAGATCTACCCTTTGAGTCTTTTTAGCAGCTCTAAATCGGGGAAGATGTAATTGTACACACTCCTATGCAACAAAGTACAATCCCGCAAAGACGGTCTTAGTTCACCCTTCGCTCGCAACAATTGCTGTCCCTACTCGACTGTATGTCTGAAGGCATTAATCGTTATATGATCTGGCGAACCCAGTGGCAGGTCAGTGTTCAAAGCTTTGTTAATGCTACGTATGGCGCTCAACAAAGGAGAGGAAGACGCATCCTCAGCATCGCCAGCCGTACGCGAACGGAATTAGTAATTTGGATCATAGTCGTACACACCAGAAGGCTCCTTGAAGAGAAAGTCAAGCATGCCACGATGCATCTTTGTCTTCTCACTCAATCTCGGAGTTCTCGGCTCCGCACCAACATCCAAAAGCACCAAACCCCACTCTATCGCATGCCGTAATGTGTCAAGACTTATCATCTCAGGAGTACCTTCAATTTCCGCATGTGTGGCTTCCTCTCCATTCTTCTCTGCTGCTTCACTAGCGACTGTCCTAGCAACATTTTTAGCGATAGGCACAACCACATCGCGCAGTGTTTCAAGCACTGTCCTTTTGTTATCGCGCTTGAGCGTCTCCGATGGATCCTGTTCGTTGTCGTTGTCGTACCTATAGACGTATGCTTCCGGGGATGTACGTTTGCGAATACAGGTGAAAAGATAGCGCCAAGCGTGTAGTTGGGGCAGATTTGCTCGGAATTTCACTATAGACTCGGGTTTCCAGTCGTTGATGATCTGGTCAACCGAACTTAGAGCATCGCGGTCTGCTGCGCCTGATACAGGATATCTGGATTTGGATTTCCAATCGTTGACGACATTTTTCAACTCATCTTTGAAGGCGCCAGCATCGTCCGTCTTCCGCCTTTTTCGTGGTGGATCAAGAGTCTGTCCGAAGGCAAACTGTGCCCAAGTATCGCTCTCTTCTGGGGTATACGCGAGTTTGAAGTCGTCGACAATGGTGCCTTCTGGCTTCTTTATCTCATCGCCGTACATGCGGTCCAATCTGGCCAATTGATCATCGATGACTTTTCGCAATTTCTTTAGACTTGGGCGACCATCCGGGTTATATCGCAGACATTTCGAAACAATCTCGCACAGACCCACGCTGTATTCTTTGGGAAGCTCCCTCAGACGACTTGGAAAGATCCCTTCCTGCTGGCTGACATTTCCTTTCTTGAGTTCATCATTATACACCCAAGTTTTACATCTCTCATCGGCTTCGTCATAGAAGTCAGTACCTTTATAATGAGCGACCATAAGTGCCCAGGTTGTCATAGCTAGACTCCAGATATCCGACTTCTCCGAGACAGTCCATCTTTCCGGGAACCAATCCAATTCCTTGAGCGCGGAATGCTCTCGTTCCTGTCGAAAGATGAGTATCGAGAGAACGAGGAGATACAGATAACTTACTGGGGGCTGCATGCCGGGCGTACCGTCGTATCTTCTCTCGTCTGTACCCTTCTCACAGGCAATGTCAAAATCAGAAACAACAACGTTCGGATATGCAGGGTACTTGGTATTAGCGGCCTGCAGGAATATGTTCGCATCCTTGATATCGGAGTGCACAATTGCCCGCCATGTCTCTTCTCGGTCTTCGGGTGCTGCATTCGGTGATGAGCAGGTACCATCCCGCAACGCCAGTAGTGCCTCAGTCACTTGGCTGAGAAAGTACCAAATGAAGTGCTCGGGCACAGGTCTCTCTTCTTTCTTATGCCCGTCGTGGATGCGTGCGAGAGTCCCTAGTTCAGCAAACGACGTGTATATGTTGTACAGATGTCCTTCTAAAGCCTGGTTTCCTGTATGAGTACGGAGTGTTTTGGTAGATTTCCGGTGACTGTGGCCACGATATGGTATCATATGCGAACAATTGAGGGTACTAATCATCTGGTTCATATAAATCTCGTCCTCGGCGTCCTTCTTCTCTTTGTCTGATATTGCTTCCAGACATTTGACCGTGACGCGCTAGTGATAGGTTAGCACAGCTACCTGGCTATGTTTGTTAACCTTGACTCACATCCTCGATGACGCCAGTGCTGCTGGTACGAACACATAAGTATACGGACTTGCGAGGCATTGTTCCCTGGCTGAAACGCCGTTTGCCATCGTCGAGCCGAGTCTGGTGCAAAGTCATTGCAAACTTCCAACGACCGTCGTCATGACTGTAGAAGTCTTTTCTCTGGCCTGCCGTAGGACCCAAGAAGCGTTTGCGTTTAGGGTCATTCTGAAGGAAAAAGGTAGGCGACCGCTCACCGCTCGAGGCTTCCGATGACGCCACTGACGCATCATCGTTGTTGTCAGGCTGCTGTAATCCAGTTGGTACTGCTACTGCTACTACTGGAGGCGCTGGGTTAGGAGGAGCGGCTGGTGGAAGGGCTGGAGCAACAGCGCCTGGCGCAACTGCCGTTGCCGCAGGTTGTCGGCCGTTGTCTGTCTTGCCCAGCCAATGATTCCTCCTTGCGGTCCACAGCCTGTCGATACTCCCCCCTGTGTTTCTTCCGCGAAGGTCTTTTCTCCGGTTAGCGATGACCTTCCGCATAAACGAAAGGAACGCGTTCCTCGTCCTGTTGTTGGTAAATCCATCATAGAGTGCTGCATCATCGACATCTATGCTGAAGTATGTGTCAAAACCGTTAATGTTGTCTTCCACCCGAGGGCGCCGAGCGTTCGCCATTGCATGTAGAATGTGCTGGGTGCCTTGGAACGTTACGGGGGATTATGTGAGGATTTGCAAAACAGATTGCGCAAGCCTGCGCTCAAGTGAAATCGCATCTCCATTTCGACAAATAACGTCAAAGCCTCTTGTAATGCTTTGTTGATGGCCTTGAGGTGGTGGTTTGATGCAAAGACAATGGAACTGGGGATGCGGAAGCAAAGAAGGACTCTAGGGGTCTTTACTTAGTAAGACGCTTTGTCGCATTTGGCAAGAGTTCCTGTTTAGAAGTAAATTTCAACTTTTATTTTTCATGCAATTGATTTCGTTACCCTTTTAGCGTTCATATCTCCTGCTTCCACTCCTTGTTAAACGCCCGCCCAATAACCATTCTCCTCACCTCACTCGTTCCAGCACCGATCTCATACAACTTGGCATCCCTAAGTATTCTACCAACGGGCACTTCGTTCATGTATCCCATACCGCCCATCAACTGCACGGCATCAGCCGCGACCTCGCTCGCCCTCTCTGCCGCATACAGAATAGCGCCTGCGCAGTCCTGTGTCTTGATATCAGGACTAGCATGCGACTCATCCACAGCGCGGGCGACACTGTATGTGAAAGCTTGACTAGCCCGGTATTTCGTGTACATATCCGCCAGCTTCCCCTGCACAAGCTGGTTATGCGCAATCGGCATGCCGAACTGTTTCCGCTGGTGTGTATAAGGAAGGACGTTATCAAGCGACGCCTGCATGAGACCCAGCGGTCCCGCTGAGAGTACAAGGCGCTCAAGATCCAGGCCCTCCATCAAGACGCGGACGCCGCGGTTGATCTCTCCCAGAACGTTTTCCTTGGGGACAAAGACGTTTTCGAAGACGAGTTCGCCGGTGTTGGAGCCGCGCATACCCAGTTTGTCGAGTTTATTCGCGACGCTGAAGCCGGGGGTGGAGGTCTCGAGGATGAAGGCTGTGATGCCTTTGGAGGCGGCGTTGGGTTCGGTTTTGGCGTAGACGACTATTACGTGTGCGTCTGGGCCCTATCGAAAGCTTGTTAGTACACCGTCTTCCTTCTGACAGCCTTATATGTAGACGCGGCAAGAGAACGTACATTTGTAATCCACATCTTCGTGCCATTAAGCAAATACCCACCATCCACCTCCTTCGCCGTACTCTTCATGCTAACAACATCACTCCCCGCACTATGCTCGCTCATAGCCAACCCACCAATCTTCTCTCCACTGATCAAACCAGGCAGGAACTTCTTCTTCTGCTCCGCATTCCCGTTCAGCATCAACTGGTTGACGCACAATTGGCTGTGTGCCGCGTAACTCAGTCCTATGCTGCCGCTCGCCCGCGACAGCTCCTCCATGACGACACAGTGGGCTTGGTAGCCCATTGCCAGTCCGCCGAACTCCTCATCTGCGGTTATGCCTAGGAAACCCGCTTCGCCGAACTTCTGCCACATTTCGTTGGGGAACTCATTCTGTTTATCGGTGCGCGCGGCAACATCTTCAGGAATCTCGCGTTGGGCGAAGTCGCGCACCGATTCGCGGAGCTCGTCGAGGTCGGATTGCGAGGGGGGTGTGAAGGCTTTGGGGTGTTTGGTCGATGCGTGGCGGGCTGTGGTAGTGGAGAGGATGGCGGCACGAGGGACGCGTGTTTGCCGGATGCTGCGTGTGAAGAGGCGGGGGGCTAGGGAGGCCATTTTAATGATGTTGTAAACTGGAAATTGGAAGGTCGAATGAAAGTCGTCAAGAGAAGTGGTGAGATGTTTGACAATACCGTCTTGGGAGTTCGGTTTGCGACGGCTGATGGACCGAGGCACCTTCCTAACTGATGGATTGCGGAGGACCAGGGTCCGGGGAAGAGAGGAGCGGCGTAATTCCGCCCTCCATCCCCGTCTATGAACAGACAAGAGCACTACCAACAAGCCCTCAAAGGTCCTTGACACGCTTCATCGCCTTGTCATTACACTCGCCCACATCCAGCGCGACCAAAAATCTGCTCACAGCATTATACGCCGCAACCGTCGCCGTCAACTCCACAACCATGGTATCCTCCAACACGCCCTTGACCATCTCCGCAACCATATCTTCCACCTGCACACCCACAGTCATCTGATCTGTATAAACCATAACTGCATACTCCTCCTTGCTGAACCCCAACAGCCCCTCCCTCTCCACCATCCCATGTTTTGTAACAGGTAAATCAAAGATAGTCTGAAGAACTTCTTTGGACACGCCTGCTTTCAATGCTAGAGCAGCATGCACGTCCCATTCGTGGACTGCGTGGTTTAGTACTGCGATGCGGCTTATCGCGAGCTCTTTCAAGTTGGCTGGTAAACTGGTTTGCGTGCGGATCGCGCCGATGAATGAGTTCCAGCCGTCTGCTACCGCGGGGTTGTGTAGGAGCGCAAGGTCGAGTGGGATAAGCGGGCGCGGCTTTCGTCGCTCGGCGATACGCTCGTAAATTGGGCGGGCTTCTTCATTTGAGGGCTCGCTTGGGGCGTAGGGGACGCGCATCTTGGGTCGGAATGTAGTGCTGAGGGGTCGTACGTAGGTAGCAGATATGATGGGCCGGGTTTGAGAGTGGCTGAGCTTTGCTAGATGTGGGCGGAGGAACATTGGATGCAAGGAAGCAAGGAAAGAGGGAGACTATATATCACTCTTGTGCATATGCAGGGACTATCACGGATATACTTTCCGGTATACGGAATAGCAAGGCATGGCACTGGTGAGCAATGCTAGTTGTTCAGATAAGAGTGAGCAAGCCAGGTTTTTGAAATATCTTTCGATCAAAGATTCATTCATGCGTAATTTTCCGTAGATCCAACCATAACAAATATATACATATCCAACACCGCAAAAGACGAACTAATCTACAACCTGCTCTGCTCATCAAAGACATTCGGTAACCTAGGGATACCTTCCAATCTAGTTGTCTTCTTACCCGCTGGTGCGAGTGTGACATTGTATGTCAAGTCGAGCTTCGCCTTGGGGTCCTTGCTAGGCTCAAAGTCTAGCAGCAGATCGTCCTTGACGGCAAAGACAGTGTCGTTCGTGACCCACTGGTCGTCGCGGGGGTATAATTGTGTGATGAGCGGCTTGTAGTTCTCGGCTGAAACCATGAGATGGATGTGTGCGGGACGGAAGGGGTGGCGGTCGAGAGTCTTGAAGAGTTGGCCAGCGGCGCCTGTTGTGTGTTAGTCTTGCTCGTGCGATGTCTTCAGAGAACGACATACCATCGGTAGGAAGCGAGTACGCTGTGGGCTTGTAGCAGTAGTACCAGTACTCGCCCTTCTCGTTGGTGGTGAACTTTCCGCGCAGGTTGTTGGGCTCCTGGTTCTCGGGATCTTGGAAGTCGTACTTTCCGTTTGCGCTCGCTTGCCAGATGTCGATGACGGCGTTGGGGATGCCCTTCTTGGTGTCGAGATCCATAACTACACCGTGCATGAGAGTGGTTTGGCCATCGGGATGCGGGTTCCGGATGATGGTGTCGCCGAGGTCGCGGAATGGCGAGTGTGGTGACCAGAAGGGGCCGAGGATTGTGGAGGATGTGGGTGTCTCGCCAGACTCGTTGATGTGCTTGTGTGCAATCTCGTCGACCAATCTGGGTAGAAGTTAGTATGACGTTTGGTCTTGCTGAAGGTTTGACGACTTACGATTCTACACCTAGCACATCTGAAATACGATGCGCCTCGTTCCTGGTGGCTGTTGTGGTCTTGCCAATGGAGTTCACAAATCGCACGCCCTCAAACCACTCCTCGTTGGTAAGCTCGACCTCGCGAATGAAGTCGTGAAGATGTCTGATCAGCTTGCCCATGACAAAACGCGTCCGGTCTGGCACATTTGGTCCAATAGCGTTGATGACGGCGTCGGTGAAGTTAGGGTCGAAGCGGTGCGAGCCATTTTCCTGAACCTCAGGCGCTGTCTGTGTGTTTGGGTCCATTTTGAATGTGTATATAGGGAATCAAGGTACAAAGGGTATCAAAGGGCTGGTGAAGGGGAGTAGTACGGAATAGACATCATGCCTGGGAGGCAAGAGCTTAATAAATAGTAACTGAATTCTACCGCCCGCAGCCAACCGAACCGATACCGTTGACAATGGCCGTCTCTCTAGCCGCGGATCAGGCGAGACCTTGTCAGAGCTGTCTGGCGGCATGCTGTACCGGCTTTCAAGCGTACTATGAGCGCGAGGAGCTACAGTGCCGAAGGCTGCGCCAGGTCGCGACGGCTGCCCCGCCTCGCGCTGGGCGGGTTGGCGAATTAAAAGGGAGCCGATGTGGAAGAAGTCTTACCCGGCCTTTTTCCCTCGCAATTTAGCGTCATCAGCACTAATGCCCCGCCTTCGGCGCAGACCCCGGAAGTCTAGAGACGCGACGCGATGGCTGAATTATCGCAGAGTGGAGGGAGGATTCGGAATACATTCCAGAGTAACAGCTTTTGCTGCGAGCTGTTTGTTTACACCAAAGACACGTTCCGTGCAAGGAAGCAACCACCAACATGGTCAAGCATCACCTCATGATCGGCACTTGGACGCCGCCAGGTGTGATCATCACAGTCGCATTCGATGATGAAACATTGAAGCTGGAGTTGGTGAAGAAGACGGAGATCCCAGAGGATGAGCCCATAAGCTGGATGGCTTTCGACGTATGCGCGCAATTCCTGGACCTTGACGCGACCAACAATGGCTGATGACAAGGGAAACAGCACAAGAAAAAGAACATCTACGGCGCTTCTATGAAGAAATGGAGCTCGCACGAAGTCAAGAGCCCGAGTGAGATCGTGCATACAGGCAGCTTTCCCATGGGCGGACATCGTAAGCGACACACCATGAAAGCTCGATGCCATTACTGACAAGTTCAACAGCCAAAGCAAATGATGCCGACACCAAGACCCGTGCGATCTTCCTCCTTCCCGCTCAGAAGCCTCCATATGCCGTGTACTGTAATCCGTTCTACGACTATGCTGGCTACGGCAACATCTTCTCGGTCAACCCGGAAGGCCACATCAAAGAGAACATCCAGAACTTCGAGTACTGCGACAAGACTGCCATCCACGGTATGGTCTTCGATCCCTCAGAGACCTATCTCTACAGCGCGGATATGTGGGCAAATCGCGTCTGGTGCCATAAGAAGATAGACGATGAAGGAAGGCTGGAGACAGTAGGCTTCACTGAGGCTCCTGCGCCGAAAGACCACCCAAGGTGGGTAGAGATGCATCCATCGGGCAACTATCTGTATGCCTTGATGGAGGCAGGCAATCGGTTGTGCGAGTACGTGATTGATCCGCAGACCAAGCTGCCCGTCTACACGCACAAGACGTACCCATTGATTCCACCTGGTAAGTCAAACTCTTACTCCTGGCCATCCCAGTAGCTAACTATATCTCCCAGGTATCCCCAATGCAACCACTATGTACCGCTCCGACGTTTGCTTCCTCACCAAATCCTCAAACTACCTCTTCGCGACCTCTCGATCCAACTCCTTCTCCCTCACCGGTTACATTGCCGCATTCAAGATCGCTCCCTCAGGCGCCATTGAGCGACAAATCTGCCTCAATCCTACGCCGACCTCTGGTGGTCACTCGAATGCAGTATCGCCGTGTCCTTGGTCCGATGAGTGGCTAGCGCTTACGGATGATGAGAAGGGCGGCGTGGAGATCTATAGATGGCAGGACGAGTTTCTAGCAAGAGTTGCGAGGTTGGAGATCGGTGAGAAAGGCTTCGGTATGAATGCTATTTGGTACGACTAGACCGATACACAATACTTGGGCGTAGAGGATACGTGGGTAGCACCAAAAGAATTAGCATCACAAAAACTTCACCCTCAGCATGCCAGCATGATTTCTGGTGTGGGTGAGTCTGCATGCATTGATGGTCCTCCACGTCCCGAAGCGTAGCGTACACGCGTGGCAGCGGCGGGTCTGTGTTCAGCCTCGGAAGAATGAGGGGCAGCGGTACCGCCGTCGCCCGAACTAACGCCAGTCGGCAGATGTCGTCGGGGGAGCTCTTCCTTCCCCAACTTCGTCATGGCCTGCACGAGATAATTGGAGTAGTATAGTCGCAACCATCGAATCTAATCGTTTTCCAATCTTCCATTTCCACCCAGTCGTCTCTCATCTACTTGCGACACTTACACTGAAGTGCACAGCTACCCCACACAACAGATACAATGGCAGCCAAATCAACACCAGGCATTTTGTACGTGACGATGCAGCCCAAGGAGGGCTTGCCTGAAGCACAGTTTCACGATTGGTAAGTTGACCCCTCCGCAGTCGCATCCTTACTACCTCACGATCTCACCTGACACTTTTCCCTCCAAGGTACCAGAATGAACACGGTCCCAATCGTCTGCGCCTCCCGTTTTGCAACAATGGCTTCCGCTATCGCGCCACGGATCTCGAGAGCGCGCCTGAGTCTAAAGACAAGCCAGAATGGATGGCCATCTACGATTTCGACGAACTCGAGTGGCTCACTAGGGAACCGTACATGAAGCTTCGAAGCGCACCGGTGCAATCGCAACGAGAACGCGATACTATGAAGCAGATATTCGTCGACAGGCGATCCTACGATCTACTCGGTGAATGGAAGGGTGGAGACTTCAAGGACCTGCAGAAGGTTGAAAACGAGGGAGAGAAGAACGTCATGATTGCTGTGAGCTTTGCGCTGCATGAGGGCGCAGACAAGGAAGAGGAGCTGAAGAAGTGGTACGATGAGGAGCACGTACCTCTTCTGCAAAAGGTGCCCGGCTGGAGGAGGACGAGGAGATTCGTGACATCATACCTAGATCTGGAGAGCGGACACAAGACCGAGAAAGAGTACCTCGCGCTGCATGAGTACGCGCCGCAGAATGGGCTCGGAGGACCTGAGTTCAAGGCTGCTACTACGACGGAGTGGTGCGATAAGATCTACAAGGATGTCGTTAAAGACAGGAAGAGGAGGGTGTACGATCTCTACTACACCTTTGGTGCTGCACAGCGCGACCTCCAAAGTCTGGCGAGCAAAGACACAGTACCAGCAGAGAGTTCAGAGGGCATGGTCAAGACATATCCTGCGCACACCACACCAGAGAAGCGACCAGTAATCGAGAGCTTCGTCACAACAAAAGACGGTGTGCAACTGCCGTACCGCCTCGAAGGCTCCAGTGATCCCAACGCGCCTCTACTCGTCCTCTCAAATAGTATACTCGTCGACTACGGCATCTGGGACGACTTCGTAGCCGAGTTCACAAAAGCCACAAACAACAAGTACCGCGTCCTCCGATACAGCACCCGAGGCCGCAACACGCTTCCCTCGAACTCTACATCACCTGTCACAGTCCACACGCTTACAGACGACGTCATCGCCCTCCTCGACGCCCTCCGCGTCAAGGAAGCCTCCATCGTCGGTGTCTCCCTCGGCGGCGCAACAGCACTCAACGCAGGCCTCTCCTACCCGGACCGCATCTCCGCCTTCATAGGCTGCGACACCAACGCCTTCGCGCCCCCCTCTAACGCCAACGCCTGGAACGACCGCGTCGCCGTCGCCGAGAAAGAAGGTCTAACCGCCTCATCCGGCGAACCCATTGTCGGCGAAGAACTCGCAGAAGTGACAGTGCGCCGCTGGTTCGTAAAGGAGTCTTACGACGATGCGGAGCTAGCGAAGAAGATTCAGCGCGTCAAGGACATGGTCAAAACGAATTCGTTGGCTGGGTTTAGGGATTCGGTCAAGGCGCTGCATCAGTATGATATTAGGGAGAAGATGGCTGGATACAAGGGGAAAGGTGCGTTCTTGGTGGGTGCGGGGGATGGGGTGCTGCCTAAGACTATGAAGGAGAACATGGCGGATAAGTTGGGGGGTGGGGTTGAGCTTAAGGTTGTTGAGGGGGCGGGCCATTTGCCCATGGTGGAGAGGCCGGCGGAGGTTGCGCAGTTTGTTGCGAAGTTTTTGGAGGGTTAGACGTGTGTTGCTTGGAGTCTTGAGGATAGTGAGATCTGCTCATCTACACCGTATCATGCAGAAGACGGTAGTGTCCTGAGTAAGCTGTGGCCTTTGCATATCGATCTATACTGCTTCAGTTCATTGAGATCCCCAGGGCCAGCTAACCGCAAACAGACTAGCCCGATAGAGCCACCGAGACATGAAACATATATCCCCGACTCAATCATCCGCAATTTACGCATCTCTCTTTCTATCACTGCGTTCTTTTCTCAAGACACTTCCACTTATTTCCAAAGCAGTAAGACCCTCACTCTGCGAGTATCTCCAGCCTGTCACCAACAAGTCCTATTACAGGTACTACCTAGGTTCCCAAGGTCGTGGAAGCCAGTATGTCGGGCCGCATTCAACACGGCCGCATCGGCAAATACACTTATCCAGATAAAAGGGCTTTTCCCACTCTTGATAAGCCATACTTCTTCAAACCTACCGCGGACAACCGGCGTTTACGCCCTTACAACAAGACACGTTATGTGTTCAACTTCTCCCAATGGGAAGGCAAAACTGTTCATGAGTTGGCCTTCGACGAGCGAGACCGCGGTGGTCTCGACTTCCTCTTTTTCATCGTTAGCGACAAGTTCGATTTGGCGCGTCGCCCCGACCTCATCATTGCACTGCGCTCCCTTCAATATAGCTATTATAACAATTATCTCTTCCCGACATTCACTACGGGGCTCACCAAACGAGGATTCAAGAGGGGGTTGAGAAAAGGAGCGGTATATGAGTGTGCAATGTATCCCAAGAGCATTAATCCCCATCTACAGTGGAATCTATCGTACGAAAAAACACCGTTCGACCACTTCATCGAATTGTCAGAACCTCACAAGATACATCGATGGACGCGTAAAAAGCCGGATGTTACCTTCGATGCGGAGCCACTCGCTGCACTGCGGCCTGAAGGCGCAGACCTGGAACAAAGGAGTGCATGGGACGCGTACCCGATACGTCTAACTTTCTATGGAGTCCCGACCCGAATTGAACGCTTGTTCATCGATGACCCAGAGAAGAAGGCGACCTACCTCACCGTATCACCCGCCGGAATTCAAGGACACGATATTGAAGATAAGTTTATCAATCTCACCATGAAGCTTGATGAGGAAGGCAGAGAGCCTGGTTGGGCAGAAAGTATGCTAGGCCTTCCTTTCCACTTCTCAGGAGCTCTTTGCAGTACAGATACCGTCGACTTGGTGGACACAAATTTTGAAAAGGTGGATGACGAGTTCGATATCAAAAGCGGGCTTCGCTTTGAACTAAGAGGTACTGTTGGTACTGTTGATGATGGAAAAGTATCTGTCAAGCCAGACTGGATGGATCCACGGCTCTTGGAAGATCAGAGAAATCGCGAAACGATGCACATGACTTTAAATGAGGGTGTTCAAGTCCCAGTTGTTGGAGAGAAGTATCTGATCAAGGGTATCATTCCGCCGCCAGACCGCGACAGGTGGGAGCGGCGTCTATTCGATTGGAAACAAGCTACGCTACCGGACGGAGTTTGGAAGGCTTTCGTATTTGATCGCATTGCGGAGTAGACTATCATCGCATCATTCCCTACATTGCTCTTTTCGCCTTTGTCGATGCCAACTGTTTAGTGGAGGAGTTACGGACAACATCGAGTCTTTGTCCTATGTTTCGCATTTGGAAAGTCATGTCCATCCGCAAATCAACTGCCGCTTTCGTATGTGTTCCTCCGACTCTTACGGAACAAAGGCGGGCTGCTGTCTAGGACTCTTTGCCCGGCGACTCTCGAGGTCTAAAACTTTGTCTCTGCTCCCTTACTATACAACCACATCTCTTTCGCACATATCGAACTACTCCTCCACTTGTTCAACCTGCACAAAGCCCTCTCTTCGACAGTGATCGAATATGTCAGACCGGGTCCAGCATGGCCGCATCGAGAAGTCTCCGGGCAAACCACGCCAGTATGATCGGTCCCTACAAAAGAAAGCGTTTGCACGACACAAGCAAGGGTATAACTTCCGCCCTACGGAGGAGAACAGGCGTAGAGTTCCTGAGAATAAAGATCGATACTTCTTCAACTTCAGCAAGTGGGATGGCTCCTCGATTAAAGACCTCGCCCATGACTGGTCTGGAGAGAGCTTTCTGGCTGACTTCGTGCTTGGCGAGAAGTTCGATCTGGAGGGTCGACCCGACCTCATCACGGCTTTCCGCTCTTTAGATATTGACTTCTATAACGACGACTCGGATGTTGGACAGAAAGTACTAGAACGAGGGTTTACGCGAACCGTGAGAGGGGGCTCACACTTCTATTCTAGCCGTCTCGCCGAAGTTTCTAGAGTACTGCTGTCTTGTGATGAGACGAAGTATGATCAGTTCATTCATGTCACTCATCCCCCGTCTGAGCATTGGACTGTAACGAAGACTGCTTCATTCGGAGGCGACGAAGAGACACCAGACGTAACCCTCGACACCGTGACATTCGACAACACGATTTTCAGTAAGCTCGATGATGCGGAGCGAGAAGAGTTGGCACGATTCCCGGTGCATATCTCTTTCCACGGCATGCCGATTAGGTTAGAACGGCTCTTCATCGACAAGCCAGACAAGAAAGCGACATACTTGACTATAGCGCCGCTAGGCTTCGACAGCAGCTCGACTAACCGACATCCCCATTATCTCACAATGCGTCTCAACGAAGAAGGCCAAGACGACGACTGGGCAGAGAAACTTCTCGGTATACCTCATCACTTCTTCGGGGTCTACGTCAACAGCGAAACGGAGGACCTTACTTGCGCCCACATCAAGCCTATACAAGCAAGTGAAATTGAGGCTGGGTTCCGCTTTGAAGCGCATGGTAACGTCGTGTATTCGTGTGAGGGCTATGCTTTTATTGACCTCTATTGGGAATCGTACTCGATGTTTCAAAAGTATGGATCTGAAAAGCGGCATGTACCACTCGGGGGTCTAATTCTGGAATATTCGGAAGAAGAATTGGATCTTCTAGATGGTCCAAGTCACATTCGTGGGACACTTACGACACAGGATAACGAGTCTTTCATTTCTAAGGGATTGCGCCTCGAGTGTGCGACATGGAGATGCTGTGCTTTCGAACCCGAGAGCGCAACATGAAGATTGGGTTCTTGTAGCGCACTGAACTATCATTATTACCGTATCAATATAAACACTTACCTTTCTATACTACACCCTACCCTCTATCTTCCCTGCCATCCAACCAACTCGTACAATTCACACACCTCTTCGCCTTCTCGCTAATATACTTTCTGCAAAACCGACACTTTACCTGCTTCTTGACGATGTTATCCCCACTACCCCTCGAATAGGCCAGCGCCACGACCCAAAGCGCCAACGCAACGACCAAGAACCTGACAATCTTGTCCAAGAACTCGCCGTAGGCTAGCACCACGGCGCCGTCGTCAACAGCCTGCTTAGGGGTGTTGTAGCCATTGGATATGGTGGTGTTGTAGTTGGGTCCGGATTGCAGGATGGCGAATTTGGCGTCGAGGTTGCGGGAGAGGAAGGGGAGGAGCGAGATGATCGGGAGGATGATGGAGGAGACGAGGGAGTTTGCGACGGCGGTGAAGGCGGCTGCGAGGCTGGGTTACGAGTTAGCATGGTTAATTTACGTGTATTTTATTATAGAAATGTACATACATCAGTCCAACGGCTACTTCGAGCACGTTGTCGCGTAGGGCGAAGTTGCTGAAGCTGTCCCAAGCACTGGCGGTTCGCCTGCGGATTCCTTGTTCTGCATCGCGGAGGGTTTGGTGTGTGTTTTCATCTAAGCGCGGCATGATAGTGCTATAGGGTGTTGAAATGGTAGGGTAAGGTGTCACGATGTGTAAGGATGTGGTGCATGGGTGGTGAAAGCTGGAGTCGCGTCTCAGGTGACGACGTCATGCCGACCGACGCGTAGTGCGCGTAACCTTGGAAGGTTCGCACTAAGCACCAGATCAGGCTTGTACGAGCACGCCCACGGTCACATTGGCATCTTTGAAGCATACAATTGCCATCGGATATGTTCAGCAGCGTTGACTGTAATGAACATCCCCCCTTCGTTGGTAGTTGTGGCGATGTGATCATCTCCACTCCAACGCCTCCCGAAACCCAGTCTACTCCACGCGTAAGCTTCCCCAGGCTGTGGTCCACTTAGCGAGACGCCAGATAGATCGGCTTTCCTTATTATCATTGCCCTGCGTCGCAGACAGCCAGGCGGCTGCAGCGCTGCGCACGACATATCCAGATCCTCCGACATGACGACGTCTTGCACATCATGCCATGCACACGGCGAACACCACATCCTTCACGATCTCGATCGCGAACAGGCGTCGCACACCCAACCTCACATTTATCTTATCCAGCCACCAATCCGCGCCGTGGGTCTCCGAATGCCGACCCCACAGAGTCGGCCCTTCTACACAGGAAGCCACTCTCCTCCCGAAGACAGGCCACATGCCCAACCCACACCCCACCCCACCGTCGTAACGAGGAAACCACCAAAAAAGATTTAGACCCCGCCTGTCGCAATCACAATCACGCCAGGCAGCCTCATGATTCAGTACCATCGTCAACTATGCCGACCCCGGATCAAAGCACTCCGCCGCCTATCTCGCGCCGCGTGACCCTGTGCGGCACGCCATAGTAGGATCGCCGTCCTATCTGTAAGGGTCAAAAGGGTACATCGTCCAAAACGCAGGGTCTTGCCATCCGAAGTGGATGGAAAAGCGTGGACATGACAAGTGGTCACGATACATCAGGTCATGTTGTATCAACTTTGGGAAAGGTAAGCTGTGTACATGTGTAGATCTCTTCGCGTAAAGCACACCAAAAAAAGATGCGCGGTGCAAAATACCCTTTTCCTGCGATAATGTCGGCACGCTGCGCTTCGTGAATGGAGGAAGTGAGGGGTAAAGAATCCGAAAATGTGGTTGGTGAAGCAGCTGGATATATGCCGGTAGATGTTTCTTGGGCACACTTTCTCATGCAACATGCGCAGTGCACGAGGCTGCATGCAAGATACAGAACAAAGCGGTATGGCTAGTCCTTCTTGGAGTAATGGCAGACGAAAATCACGACTTGGTCTGCTGCAGGCAATCGTGAGGCTGAACGGAAGACGAGGAAGAAAAAAAAATCGAGTTGGCTGGTACGATAAGATTATCTTCGCCTCTGTAGCGGTGGTGCCGGGAGACCCGATTATTCCTGCTGTGACAGTCGCCGCGGAGGTTTTTCGGATGGTTTAGGGTTGGAGCGGTAAGCGCGCGAAAGAGGGATGTTCGCTGCTGGCGTGTGGAGGGGTAATTTGGGCGCTGTTGGTGGTTTTTCGCTATCGTGGGTTATGCGGCGTGAGGTCACGGTACTGCACGCTTGTCTCTTAGTCTGCAGTAGTCGCGTTTTCGGGTGGGGGATGGTTGCGTGTGCTCGACTCAGTATATCGCCGACGGAGGTTGTCAATGGAAGGGGTTGGCCCGTTGCGTTTGATGAGGTCGTCATAGCAATATCACCGAGCCAAGTGCGAAGGAGGGGATGAAGCTTGAAGATATTATGAAGTGGAATTTGTTTGTTGTTCGATCGCTATCATGCTGCCGCGGCACGCAATGCAGTACAGTATGTGTAAATGCTCAAGAAAACACCGCCCAATGCGTGTAACCATAAAAATGCAAGCCCGTGGTATACCAAAAACGCCTTCCAATGCTGTGTGTAAAGTCAAAAAGCCACCAACGCCGCGCAATGCTGTGTATCCAACCCCTACCCCATGATGCACCTTTTTCTCCATCCCGCCGTACTACCGTGCTACAAGATCGACTCTCCCGTTACCGAGTCGACTCGTGCTCTTGATTTTGATCGGGTCGATGACCTCCGGCGTTCTGCGCCGTCCTTGGGCTTCCTAGTCTTTGCGCGACGTAGCGCAGGAACATCCTCCTCTTCAGATTCGTCTACAGTGAACAGGTCCGGGCTGGGTTCTCTCCATGAGTGGCGATGGCCCGATAGTGTGCGCGAGTACCGGCGACGGTTTTGCTGTTTGCGGGTTGCGAGATCCTGTGCGCGGCCTCGTGATGGTTCAGTGATTCTGATCCGTGGAGGGCTGAGCTGAGACACAACTTGTGGCGTGTCGTTCAGTCGATCGTCATCGAGCCCCATGAAAGACTCCTCCTCGTCCTCTTCGTAGATGGTAGGCGCGTGGTACTGAGTGTGGAGCTGGCTGTGGTTGTGCTTGACATATCGGGTCCACTTGTTGGCGAGGTTGGACTTGAACTTGGAAGACTTGGTGGTGCGCGGTCCTTCCTGGACGTCGATGCCTGCGCTCAGGGACAGCTCGTACGGGTCGTCAGCCTCGGTGATGGGTGGTGAGATGAAGTGCGAGAAGGGGTCTTCGTCGATGTCCGGAAGATCGTTTTCATTAGTGTCGTCGCTGCCGTTCTCGACCCATGGTGGGAAGGAGTAGGCGCGAGGGGTGCTTCGTAGATAGGAAGGCATTATTAAGAGGAAGTCCTTGAATTTCCGAAGGAGCGATGAACGTCGAACAGGCAGTGATGGCTTAGCGCTTGATTCAACCTTGACAAAGGCGATGTGACCGAGAATGGTGTTCGTTCCCCCGGCTCCTGGCCGGTCCTTCCTGAAACAGCAGCTCGCGAACGCTCGGTGAAGAGAGTTCACAAGTGGTGCTGGTAGGAGATTTTGGTAGTAGATTCGCCAGTGGTGAGCGGCGCACGCAAGCTATATATGCGTGACTTTTGGGTAGGCGTCTGGAAGAGTCACGAGTGGGCGGCGTGGGAGAGGCGACGAATATGAGACAATGCGAGTGCTGCCTGGGAAGTGTTTGCCTGGGAGAGGGCAATGCAAGAAGCGACAGTTAGTAGGAACCGTGGTTTATCCTCCGCGAGATGTCTGGTACGGGATGCATATTCTGGAGGATTCCTTGGGTACTTATGTTGACAGGCGAGCGAAGCAGCCGGAAGAGGAGCCCTGCATGTGCAGTGCATGCGCATTAGCGTGCGGTGTGGATGAGAAGCTTAGTGCAGCGTGAGCAGAATAGGTAAGGATCCCAGGGCGCAAAGGAATGGGTGACAGGCAGAGTGATGGCGGGCGGGCCACATGAGATGGTTGGCGGCACACCATCTCGGTGTAGGATGACCTGCAGGCTGCACGCGCGCATTGGCCACTAGGTGTTGCGGACTCGACGGCCGTTAATGCAGGACTGACGATCCATGGAGTGCCGCTAGATATCAAACTATGGCCAGAGACTGAACAGCGCGATCGTGCAAATTGCAGCGAGCCGTCACGACGACTGGCGACACTAGGCGTCGAGGGTGGAGCCAAAGGCCCGAAGACACTACGTAGTCACGATACAGCGCTAGCAGCGGGGCAGATCACACCAGCATACCATCACAACCTCGACGTTCCCACTCAGCCTCATTTCAGGCTTGCCTCTTTTGGTCCATCATACACCCTCTTCTGCTCACACGCCGCTCGCTCGCGTCGCTGAGAGGCCACGACGGAACTGCTTAGAGTCCCGCTACATCCGCCCTGCCACGCTCGTCGTGGGCATGACGAGGCTGCTTGCGTGAACCTTTGTTCTGTGCCTGCAGCCGACGCTCGACTACACCGAACCCGGTGGCGTTCCTCCAGAAATGTTTCATGGAATGGTCATGGATAGGGTTTCAGCTCCGTGGATGATTCAGCTGATGCGGCTCCAATACACCACACTGATAAACTACATTAACTTTGGATCACCGTGACAATTGCCACTATTGAAGCCTGGCACCGTGGTCTGCCTACACGGAGCATTACCCGTATCATTCGACAGCCTGGGATAACGCGGCAGCACCTCCCGGCTCCACTATCCAGTTCTCCATTATTTTGAGATTTCTACTGTTTTCCCAGATTCCTCCTTACAACCGCGATACGGCCCGATTTTGCTTGGGCTCTACAAAAGATGGAATGACGTAGTTT